AAAAAAAAAAAAAAAAAAAAGTAGCACCAAACACTACAAAAGCAGAAGCCCGAGCGGTCTAGGGCGTTATGGGGTTCGGGGTTTTGGGAGCCCCTTCCTTAAGAATCTAAGATTGAACCCATGGGCCCCTAACATGGGCACTTAGGGGATTCTAGGGTCCCTTAAGGGTATATATGGGGGTATATAGTAGGTATATTAGGGTCCAGGGTTAAGGGCCCATACTAGGGGCCCATGGGTTCTACCTCAGAAAGAACGAAGCTCGACACAACGAAGCCCTTTAGGGGCTAAGGACTTGGGATTTAGGGTTAACGGTTTAGGGTAGGGATTTAGGGTTCAGGGTTTAGGGGTTTAGGGGTTTAGGGTTTTGGGGTTTTGGGTTTAGGGGTTTCGGGGTAAGTATTTAGGAATTTTCGGGTTTCGAACTCTAGGCTCCATAGTAATACTGACAGCAAAGCAGAAAGCTTACCGAACCCACACAACACCCCTGAAAACCCTTATAACCCCTTGCGAAGAACTGTTGTCTAGGACATTCTCAGGTGGGTAGTTACCGTTATCGGAGCCTTATAGAAAATCTATATACCTTATAGAAGCCCTATACACCCTAAACTCCTCACCTGTAGTTTCCTTTAACTTTGTAGAACCCCTGTAGTACCCTAAACCCCAAACCCTAAGCCCTCATCATGCAGGTGGAAAATATCGCCTAACAAAACAAATCCTAATCCCTACGCCCTATATAAACCCTTTTTACGCACTTCTGTGGTACTGCTGTAGTACCCTTAAAAGGAAACCTAAACCCTACTGACACCTACACACTCAACCCTAAACCCTAAAGCCCTTAAGAGGAAACCTAAACCCTCAACCCCAAACCCTAAACCCTAAACCCCCAAGCAAAAAATCATAAACCTCAAGCCCTCAAAGAAAACATAATCCCTAAAGCCCTTAAAAGGAAAACTAAGCCTAAGTCGAAGGCCGAAGAAATTTCGCCGTTGGACTCGGATTCGCCGCAGAGTTCCCAGAGCCCATAGGGCGTTTTCTCTGGTTTTGGTGGTTTTCTAGTGCTTTCTACTTGGAGGTTCATGGGTAGTTATAAGTGGGGTTGTAAGTAGGGTAACTATAATTATAACCCTAATTAGGGGACTTATAACCCTACTTATAACTACTCATGAACCTCCAAGTAGGGTTTTCTGGTGGTTTAGGGTTTAGGGTTCCCGAGATGTTTAGGGTCTAGGGTTGAGGGTTTTTTTAGGGGTTTAGGGTTTAGGGTTTCCTAGGAGTTACCCCCAATGCTGTTGTTTTGGGGGCGTTGAGGTTGCAGGGTGGAGGCGGAAAGATCCTGCTGGCCACAGCATGCAGAAGACTTGCACGTGCGTACCGCGTGAGTTTTGAAAAAGGCCGAGGTGGTTTAGGGTTTAGGGTTTAGGGTTTAGGGTTTAGGGTCAAGCCTTGAGGCCTACTGAAAGGTACCTTTGAGTAGCTATAAGCCTTACGGGTCCCTGTGCCCATGTAGTGTATACTTTGACCTTAAAGCAGTCCTTATATAGGCACTTTAGGGGCCAACGCATCTAGTTCATGGACCCTTCAGGGAAGTGGAGATAGAGGTTGGGATTGACGGTGATCATGAGTGTGCTCTCTAAGTCCGGTTTAGGGGTTTAGGGCTTAGGGTTTAGGGTCTACCAGCACCCCCCAAGTACCCTTTAATGGAGCCCTTATGGTCCTTAATAGTGGGTATTTTGGGTTTATTAGAGGGTAGTTGGGGGGTGCTGGTAAGTCACTTGATCTAAACAGGGCTTTGGGGTTTAGGGGTTCCGGGGTTTAGGGTTTCGGATTTATGGGTTCAAGGTGTCAGCGCCAGTCAGCGGTATCAACACATGAGCCGTAGTACTCCCATAAGCCCGTAACAGTTCCCGGAACAGCACGGGCACGTAGGCTGAGCATGAGAATAGCCTGCGCCGCTTCCCTTGATGTAAGTTCCAGAAAAGGGGGGGCATGCAGAAACCCTAAACCCTAAAGCGGGACCAAACTAGTAGGATACATACCTAAACCCAAACCCAAAGCCATGCACCCTAAACCCCAATCCCGAAACTCTGTGGGTTTTAGGGGTCCATATAGTCGATATCCTAGTTGTTTTTGCTTTAAACAGTCGGTATTGCTGGAAGCCAACCGCAAAATTGGTTACGTAATCAAGGAGCATTTAGTTAGATTTCTAGACCAAACTTGTACTCCAGACAGGGGTCTATTTGGGTTGCGTGTCAGTTTCGGGAGCATAGTTCCGAAGTCCTTAGCCTAAACCCTAAACCCTAAACCCTGAACCCTAAACCCTGAACCCTAAACTCTAAACCCTGAACCCTAAACCCTAAACCCTAAACCGTGTGGACTTCGTTTCGACAGGTTGCCGAGGAAGATCACGGCAGAAGGCTCTCCCTGGGACATGTTCGACAGTGGGGCGTGGGGGTTTAGGGTTTAGGGGTTGTCTCGATAAGAGGGTAGTCTGTGGCCCCGCAGGTGATTGTTACCACTAGGTGGGCTCTCCGACAAGGACCTCCGTAAGCCCCCTTGCTTTTTTTTTTTTTTTTTTT